CTACAAAACCAAAATTTTATTTTTAGTCATAACAAGTCTTACAAATATAAATTTCAAATGGTAATAACCTGAAACAAAGTCACTGCCTTACTTGATAAAGTCCTATTTTTAATTCTTGAATTATTTTGAAGACCAACAGTATCAGAGAATTCCTACATTTATTTCACTTGGAATATTCCCTAAAATTGTTACACTAAAAATGCAACCCAGATCCAAAGAGGGAAAGAAAACAATCTGATATTATCACTTCATTTTTGCTACAGCTTGACTGAACAAAGTACATCATCATAGAGGGTTTTTTCTGTTTGTTTTCTAAATTAGCAATTTAGCACTAACAAAGATACGAATTTCACCACGCAACAAAGACAATTGGGAACACATTTCCAAATAGCAAAAAAGGATAAAAATATAGCAAAGATACGTACTCCTTTTGGAAAGCCATACACATGGGAGAACTGAATCCAAAGACAAGGCACGTCTGGGCATCTGGACTGTAGCCATTCTGGAGTAATATTTCTAAGCACCGTTCATGTCCTCCAAACACTGCTGAATAAACAGGGCTCACTTTGTCTGGCCCAGTGTCACAGATCCGGTTAGTAAGTGGTATTAACAAGTCCAAGATTCTACAAATACACAAATTCAAGAGCATTTAATGTTTTTATACGTACATAAGTGTAAGCAGCATTTCTGTAGCACAATTTTTAAGAATCACCAACTGATTGATTTAAAGACTTTCTGTCTTCAGTATACTTTCTACCTCCATTAATTACATGCTACAGTTATTCTAAAATGTACACTTATTATTCCTTAATACAAAAGTCCTTAAATACATCTGAAGCAGAATTAAGTAATGTTCCCAAAAGTAAATAGGTAATGTGTTTTTCATTTTGATTTTTTCATTAATTATTTGCCTTACCACCACCACCACCCTTTACTCCTCCAAATTCAAATTTTATGTTAGTTTAGGATCTAATAAATTATTTAAAACTTCATTATACTAAATACAAACTCATATCAAAAAAATAAACTATTTTCCTTCTTAAAGTACCAACTAGTTTTACTTTTCCAATTAGAAAATTTTTTAAAGATGATGACTGACATGAAATGAAAAATAGTACTTTCATCAGAAAGAAATTAGAATTT